ACTCTCACTCTTGGCAGATGTACACACACACAACACCAACAACAACAACAACCCTCACTCTCTATAAACGTAGATGCCGTGTCAACAACAACAACAACAGCAACAACAACAACTCTCACTCTTGGCAGATGTACACACACACAACACCAACAACAACAACAACCCTCACTCTCTATAAACGTAGATGCCGTGTCAACAACAACAACAACTCTCACTCTTGGCAGATGTACACACACACAACACCAACAACAACACCACCAACAACAACAACCCTCACTCTCTATAAACGTAGATGCCATGTTTCTTGGTGTTGGGGCTAGCACCAGGGTTGTTTGGAATGGCGGGATGCACGGGGTTCGAGTCTCCAGCCCTGCGAGAGGGGCTGAGGGACGGGGAAACCACCGAGTCCAGCTCCGTGCCCTCCCCGCAACCCCTCTCTGCTTCCTTCTTCTCTCGTTCCGACCGCTCCATCGCTCGCTCCTTGTCTTCTCTGTCCTCCCGCTCCGGCTCCCTCCTCTCCTCGCCCTTCCTCCCTACTTCCTCTCCCTCGTCTTCCACAAACTCCTCATCCTCTTCCTCCTCCTCCTCTTCCTCCTCCTCTGGTTCCTCAGCGTCGTGGAAGCTTGGCTCATCAGGCTCCACTTTGACCGGCGACTCACTGGGGGGGGGAAAGAAACAGTTGGGCTTACTCACTTTCTCTCACTCTCTCACTGTAACAGTTTCACTTTCTTTCTCTCTAACAAACAGTTGCACTTTCTCTCTCTCTCTCTCTCTCTCTCTCTCTCAAACAAACAGTTGCATTTACTCTCTCACTCTCTCTCTCTTTCTCTCTCTCTAACAAACAATTGCAATTACTCACTCTCTCACTGGTGCGGGCACAAACTTGAGCTACAGCTTCCAAAACTTTTGTTTTAGTTAAATAAGAGTTTTACTGAGCTCTCAACTGCATACTGCTTGCAAAGACAAAAGAAACCTTCCAAACTACATAATTGGGTACCGAAAAAAAATCAAAAAATCAAACAGTGTTTTTGTTTGGTCGCTGGCCCACAGGAGTGCCGTGCAAAGTTACAGGCACAACAGTTAAATAATATATCAGCTGGAATGTTTTCACCTGAACAGACTCAAATGAACAAGCTATAGTATCATTTCTCATCTATGGGGGAAAATACTGAGGCAAATGTTTAATCTATGTCTTTGTCATTTTGCTCAAATGGCCTCTCCTGTACATAATAATAGTAGTAACAATAATAATAAATAATAACAATAACAATGAAAAGAAGAATTGCATTTAAACAGCACATATCCCTGCTCTACAACAAGCTCTATTTGCCTTTTTTTTTTTTAAGTAGAGGTTTTACGGCGCTCGCAACTGCATAAGGTCATATGAGCGCCGCTATTTGCTTTACAGACCCTACAACACTCGGAAACATTCTCCGCTCCTCAGGAAGCATACAGTGCAAGCTGCCAATTAGGTGCCCAAACACTAACAAACTGACACATTGTGTCCCTACCTATACCTCAGCATACAAACTGACACAATGTGTCCCTACCTATAGCTTAGACACTAACAAACAGACACAATGTGTCCCTGCCTTCAGCTCGGACGACACAAAGACACAATGACACAAACACAGACCTGGTTTTGCTGGGCCGCCTCGGGGTGTCGTCCTGCGTAGCTGTCAAGGTCTGAGGTGCAGATGGCGAATGGTTCGAATCCTGGTTGAGGTGATTACATGAGGAGACACTTCCAATGTTGCCGTTCATCTGGGGAGATAGTTTTACACATCAGCACTTTCTCTCCTTCTCTCTGTCTCTCTCTCACACACACACACACCCACAATACTTTCTATCTCTCTCACACACACACAAGCACACAAATACACACACAGCATATACATCAATAATTTCTCTCTCTCTCTCTCTCTCACACACAAACAAACACAAGCATACACATTCAATAATGTTTAACATCCTCCTCCCCCTATCCCCTCTTACCTCCTCCTCCCTCTCCCCTCCCTCCCCACTCCACCCACTCCCCTCCTCTCCCTTCCTTCCCCCTTCCCCTCCCCCACCAACTCCGACTGCTCTCCATTTCTTTAGAACTACCCCCTGCCTCTTACCTTTCAAACCCATTTTCCCCCCCCCTCCCCTACTTCACCCTCCCCTCCCACTCCTCTCTCACCCCTAACATCTCGGTAGCAGCAGTGCTGACAGCTACGATAGGTCCCGGGTTGGGCGCCTCCCTCCCCTCCCTTGTCTCTTCATACCTCCCCCTCCCCTCTCCCTCCCTCTCTCCTCCCTCTTTTTTTCATAAAAGTTTTACAGCACTTGCAACACAATAAGGTCATATAAGAGCCGAAGATTTGAGGTGATACAAGAGAGTAACAAATACAAAAAAGAAGGAGGGGAGAAAAGGC